CCCAGCTCGGGAGGGGAGCGCAGTGTAGTGGTCAGAGCAGGGAGGCTGGGAACCAGGACTCCTGGGTTCTAGTCCCAGCTCGGGAGCGGAGAGCAGTGTAGTGGTCAGAGCAGGGAGGCTGGGAACCAGGACTCCTGGGTTCTAGTGCCAGCTCGGGAGGGGAGCGCAGTGTAGTGGTCAGAGCAGGGGGCTGGGAACCAGGACTCCTGGGATCTTGGCGGGCGAGCTCACCCTCTGATACACGAACTGGGTCTTCTTGCCCTTCTCAGCGGCCTCATCCCTCCACTCTGTCAGCCACTGCACGAAGAGGGGATTAGGGCAGGCGGGCACCGGCTTCTTCCGCCCCAGCCGCCGGGGGGCCGCCATCTCCGCAGGTGCCACCTGCTGCAGCCGGGGCAGGCGCAGCGCCCCTGGGGCCAGACAGAGGAGACAATGGGACACGGGGCCTTTCCCCTCTAGGGGCGCTGGCTCCGATCCAGCCCCAGAGTGGGGATGCGGGGGCTGACCGGGGGTGTCTCTTCTGCTGTCCCCGGCTGGGGACACGGGGGGGTCCTGGCTCTGCCCCCTCCCCCCCGATCAGAGTCGCTCTTTAGCGGGAGGGGCCAGCCCCCCCCCCAAAGGAGATGGGAGGGGTCCCCCTGGGTTCCCGCTAACCCTACAGCTGCACCATGGGGGAGACCCCCACTCTCTGCCCCGCGGGGGGGGGCACCGCGACCCCTGCGCCGGAAGCGGTTCCACCCTTTTCCCGCCGGGCCCCAGCTTCAATTGCACCGCCCCTTGGTGCGGGGACGCCAGGGCTAGAGTGTCCCTGCGGGAGCTCCAGCCCCATCTGGCGGCTAGAGAAAGACGAAAACTCAGCGATACCCAAGGTCTGCGGGTGCCTCTCGGAACAGAAAGAGACCGGGGGTGGGGGGCACTGGCAGAGCTGGGGGGAGCCCAGGGCTGGGGTAGCAGAAGGCTGTGGGTTGGGGGGCACTGGCAGAGCTGGGGTGGGGTGGGGGGAGCCCAGGGCTGGGGTAGCAGAAGGCTGTGGGTTGGGGGGCACTGGCAGAGCTGGGGTGGGGTGGGGGGAGCCCAGGGCTGGGGTAGCAGAAGGCTGTGGGTTGGGGGGCACTGGCAG